TTTTACTTTAGAAAAGGGCTGCTATGGAAAACAGTTGGCCCAGTGTGAAGAAGTAGTGTAAAAGCACTACGAGCTTTTGTTCAACAATTTGTTCATCGTTGTAGCTTGTAGCAGGGACACCACGCCTGATATCTAAAGTTACCCTGAAAGTTACTCTGTGTGCGAAAAAGCTCTCAAATAGAGCTGCTAATTAACATTAGCTCATTTAATCATCAGGTAACGGAGCCAATGCTGAGGAGAAGAGGGTGGCCCTGCAGATGGCGGACAAATTCATCGAACAAATGAATTACCCTCGCATGAAAACACAGGTACTGCTGCTAAAAGCTGCTCATGTTAAACACCGCAAACCAGTCAAGCGTCTTTCTTTACTGTAGACAGGAAAGCTCGTACAACCTCTTTGTTTCTATTTTTACAGCCACAGATCTGACGTGTGAGTTTATGACGTCAACTGTAAAGTCTTTTATATAAGCAGTAAGCAGTAAAGTTTTATGTGCGTTGCACTACAGGTGGAAATCCTGCCACAGGGGAAGGAGACCATCATCTTCAAGCAGTTCTTCAAAAACTGGAACTGAGCATTTCACTGGGAATCCTGCACATGGAGACGAGGCTGCGCATCTTGAGAGAGCACCTGTTACAAAATGCATCGTTTTGTTTTTTTAAAGATATATATACTCTGACTTGTATGTACATACTTGTAAGGCTGACAGTAAGCTGCCTCTTGCCTTGTACTTTGGTAGAATCAGAAATGTGATGCCACTTTTATAAAAAAAAAAAAAAAGTTCCTTGTAGTAACAGAAAAAGTATATAAGGAGAAATATTAGATATAACTCAAGTAAATGAGATGTGCTTTTTTTCCTTTTCTTTTTTTTTACATTGGTTCAATGGTGTCCCAGCTTTGCCTGCATTTCAAAAATAAATGTAAAACTCTGGTTTATACAGGAGGAAGTTGTGCTGATTTTTTTTTTTTTTTTTACCTCCCCTCCAGTCATCATGTGGGGAACTTATCTGATGCTTATCAGTCACGTCTCCGCCCGGTTTTATATAACCTTTATTCTAAACTATGCCCTTACTGCTGCCACGGCTGCACAAATATTACACCCGACTGTATAATAACACACTATTAATAATTAACTATAGACCATCAATAAACTTCCACAATAATTGGCGATTAAACAATCTGGCATTATTAAGTCGGTCACAGGGGGCATTGCATTTACTGCTGAGTAATATGTGGCATACTTTTACATAAGGGACTTTTTGAAAGGACAATTATATATACTGTTTTACCTTTTGCCTGTTCGGCTTCAGCTGCAGGGAAATCAAATGTGTATTTTTGCACAAACACGACGTCGAGATTATTTTCACGCAGCTATTAAAAAGGGGGTGAAGAGGAAACCCTAAACAATCTGAGAAGACAATATTATCAGGCCTTCATTATTTCATGTCCGTGACTTGGAGTATTCACAATAAACCAGCTGTGGGACTAAAAAATGCCAGTAATTGTTTCCTTCACTCACTTCCAAAAGTGCTGTCATCATTCCTCTTTGACCAGTCCCTGTGTGGCTCCATGACCTATTTCCTACTTAGATTAACATGCCCTGGCATTTTCTCTTAATGACTGCCTGGCATAGCATAAAGGTCATTGCTTCTTTAATAATCAGCAGGCGCGTTGAAACAGACCCAAAGAATCTCCCACCTCCAGATGTCTCTCAGAGGGGATCAGCCTCTGATGCTGATGTTTATTCTGCTTTAACCAAAAACCTTTGGTTTAGTTATTTAACTGCAACTACTAAATGTTACTCAGACAGCTTTCTGATTTGTCTGCTTAGAAGCTGCTCTGAGCTCTGTGTGGCCTCCCAGGCTATCACACGTCTTGTTCTCAGAGTGATTTGTGCTGGTCAGCCACTCTCAGGGCTGGACCAGGTATTTTGAATTCCCCTGATTTGTACCCAGTCTTTCTTACTGCAGACTGCTTAAGTTCAAACTCATTATAGGAGATTATGAAAGGTTGCTGTTTTTTTGCTGTTGTTGTTTTAATGCAGAGATTCATTTTCAGTCAAGTATGCTTTTAAAGTCGGACTAAATCGCTGAATTTGGTTCTCATACACAAACTGTGGAAACATTGATCATATTTTAGGTTACACTGCTGAAGGTTAGAAAATTCATAAATGTTCTCTTGTGGGATGATTTATTCAGGTTTAATCTCCACCGGACTCAATTTTGAAAGGCAAACTGAAGTTTGCTCAAAAGGGGAAAAAACTCAGCAGCTAATAGTTTACACTAGGTTGGTTTTATTGTATACAAACAGAAACAGCGTAAGGTTCAGCGGCTTGCATAATGACACTCTGACCTTGAATGGTAAATGGCCTGCATTTGTATAGCGCTTTACTTAGTCACTAAGGACCCTAAAGCGCTTTACACTACATTCAGTCATTCACACACTGGTGATGGCAAGCTACATTGTAGCCACAGCTGCCCTGGGGCGCACTGACAGAGGCGAGGCTGCCGGACACTGGCGCCACCGGGCCCTCTGACCACCACCAGTAGGCCAACATGGGGTTAGTATCTTGCCCAAGGATATTTGGCATGCAGCCAGGAGGCAGCCTGGGATCGAACCACCAACCTTCTGATTAGTGGCTGACCTGCTCTGCCACCTGAGCTACAGCCACCCCACTTGAAGTCACAGATAACCAGGCGGTGGAAGAAACCCACAATGATTTAGGCAAAAACTCCAGGAATAAGGACCCCACTTCAAAAATCTAATTTGAACCAAGTATAGATGACTGTAACTTTTCTTCTTCTCCTGGTTATTGAAAGTAATCCTCTCCTTCTCATATGCCTGTTTCATTTTGCACAGTGCAGCGAGATGTAAAACTGATGACTAAAGGGGAATAAAGGGCAGCGCGCTGATGATGCATACAGGGAAGCATGTGTTTCTCTGACGTTTCTGCATGTAATGCTGAAGACATCCAGATGTGCATGCCTTGAGTCATTTTCAATGGAAGCTCCTATTTTTCTGCCTTTTTTGACACCATGCAATACCCTTCCAAATTACACCCGCTCGGGACGTTATGAGTCCAGTCAATGGATGTTATTGACATAATCAGTAACGTCTTCGACTCACAAGCTGCTGTTAAGCAAAAGGAAATAAAGACATAAAAACAAATCCCACATTATGTAAAATGTAGATGTAGAACTGTAGTGTGTGGTTTTTTTGTCTTTTCAGTTCTAATTTATTTATTTTGCATTTATTTAGCACATTTCATCACAGAGTTACAAAGTGCTTCACATGAAGATTTACTTAAAAACAAAAAAACAACAAAAATAATGAAATGAAAGAAATATAGTCATTCCTGAAAGATGGCTTTATACTAAGTCACTGAAGTCTTTTTAATAAGCAGGGCTGACGGTTATATGGTGTCTTTTGCATGTTGACGTCTCTCAGAGCGCTGATGCCAACCTTACTGAACTTTTGGGAACTAATCTTAAAAGCTGGGTTCGTACCAGAAAATCAACCAATTTAAACGAACTCTACCAATTCAGTTAAATATGCAGCTAGAATAAAGTCAGAAGCTTGTTCATGGCTACAAGAAGCATCTGGTCAAGGTGCAACTTGCTAAGGAACATGTAACCAAATATAAGAGCCTGTGTGGATGAGAGAAAATCCTAAATAGATTGAAATGTGTGCATTTGAAAGTCGTTAAAGATCTATGCTGGATGATCAGTCCAACCCAGAAAAAGAACAGTGATGACCATGAAATTCATCCACATGATGAGTGTTATAGACAAGATGGGACCAGTTACTGTAAACAAAGTGGCGCGTCATATATCACATTTGTGTAATATGTGTCAAGGCAAAGATAAGAGTTGCTAGGATTCAGTTTCACTACAGTCAGACTGAATCCAGTGATGCAGTAAAAAGTAAAATCACATTTTTTTTACTGTTTGAAGAATCTTTATCTTTTATGATTTTTTGCAGCAACTGAAGTATATAAAGCGCAGATACTGTAAACGACTCTTAACACTGCTGCTGCATATACAGTTTACCAACAGCCACACAGAGTATCTGTTTCCCTCCCAGTCATAACCTGGAATTTACTGCAGTCATAAAAAGAAAAAAATCATTATACCCTCACAGCGCCCTTGGTTACGGAGCTGCCAGGAAACGTTTCGTGTCAGGGGATTCTGCATGCAGATTTCCCTGTTGTAAAGTTCAAAGATCAAACCGAGAGAGACACAAAAGGATTAGACCAACAGCAGTGGCTGTCCAGTCTTAGCCACCAGCAGAGCTGCACCAGCGACAGGTACGACATAATAAGCTCATAGTTTGTGTATTAGTTTAGTGTGTCTCTTTATACCTGAGGTCTGTGGGAGATGGTTTAATTTCAAATATGAACCATTATTTTATTTTATGAATTCATAAGGCAGGTTTGTGTTTTAATTTTGTGGTGTGTTGCTTTTTTTTGTTTGTTTGCTTGTTTTTGTTCTTTTCTTTTTTTAATGCTGATTTTCTTTTTACAGCTGTGTTTTATATCTCGCTTTAACTTTTTTCTATATTTATTATTATTATGATGATTATTATTATTATCAATTTAAAGTAATTGTATTATTTTATATTTGATTACTTGTAATCCTGTATATACATATACAGGATCACATATTTAACCTCCTAAGACCCGAACTCTTTCATGGCATTTTTAATTTCTCTTCGCTGTTTGGGCTGATTGGGACCTGATGAATGTAAAAACAAAGAATTACGTGATTTTTTTTTTTACCTGATTTTTCTTTCTGAGAAAAATTAGATCCACATATGAGGACATTCGCTTTAAATTTCGATAGAACAGTGGCAGTATAATGTCCTGACGCCAGATCGCCAGGATATAGTTTTAAAACTTGCAAATATATTTATATACATGTGTGTGTGTGTGTGTGTGTGTGTGTGTGTGTGTTTGTTTAGTTCTATAATTTCATATTTTATTATATTTATGTGGTGTGTGTTTTTTCTCCACAGTGAGGACGCCATGATGGAAATGAAAAGCATCCTAAAGCCCAAAAGAAGTACGTCTTTTTCTTACTTTGTGTTTCATAGTGATACTTAGCACACTTTTCTTGCCCATCTGATAACTATCAACCTTTGCATGATGCGATACTGTGGGGACTGATACAGTATCTAAAATATTTATCAGAGCCATAAATCTATCACTATACTTTACACATTTCCAGCCTCTGCTGCAAAGCTTTTATCTAAAGCTTGTATTTCCTGCTGCTATTCTTAGTTTGGAAAAGCAGCATGACATTAACTGAGACTTAAAAGAGCTTTTTTTTTTTTTTACCCCTGCAGAGGTGAGCATGGTGCTCTCTGGGGAGGACAGCAGCGCCACCCAGAGCAGTTCCATCGGGGCCGTACGCTGGAACCTGCCCACCCATGATGAAAGCAGCCAGCCTCACAGCTCGGTCCCCAGCAGGCCCACCAACAGCCTCAATAAACAGTCACAGGTAAACCACATTCTTCAAACAGCTTTTCTCTTCAGTTGGTCAGTGTCTGTTTGGCCTATTTGTGACCACCTCTGTCTCCTGCAGCAACAAACTCGCCAAAACGGCCTGAAAGATCTCCGCAGCCTGCAGGAGTGCGTGCAGTTTATCCAGCAGTGGAAGGAACAGGTGGATCAAGTGTGCAAGGTAGAAACTGGCAGACTCTTAGTATAGCCAGATTTAAGAGTGCACAGACCAGATAAGGATCACAATAACAAAATATTTATTGTATGCAGGAACTCCATCACACAACAGCACTGACTGTATGGATGCTGATAGCGCAGCTATTCATTAACTCTTTATAGCTCACACCCTTCACCTTATAGCATATGTAGGATGGGTGTTACCTAAGATATACATCTTCCTGTATCTTTCTGTAGTTTCATGGTGTGACACACCACCTGACACAGTGTGATGTCGTTTAGCAGGAAGCTCTGGATCCAGGAGAAGGCACCACGAAGGACGCCCAGAGTTCACACAGGCACGCCGAACGCAGTCTCGAGGAGAGCAGGAAGTTAATCCTGCAGTGGGCCGATGAGCTCCGCGATGTTGATAGGGTCAGTATTTACAGACGCTGATGTGAGATCAGACCAGATCAGATTGACCCTTCAAATAAAACTGAATTGAATTAAATTGAAAATCCTATTTTGATATGCAAGGTGAAACGAAAACTGTTAAAATCTAACAATGTCGCGATTAATTCAATGTCCTTATAGCTCCTAAAGGAGACTCCCTGGGTATCTGACAGTCAAGAACACGAAACTAAAGACAAGGATGCCAATGAGGTGGCACACATGAGGATCATGGAGTGGGCAAAGGAGCTGCAGGAGGCGAGCGAGGTGAGCAGGGGGTCTGTAACCAGGCACCTAACTTCAAATGTGTTTTACTTTTATGTCATTTATGTTTTGGTTGGTGTCACGCTTTTCAAAGTAAATGGAGGCAAATCTCAAGCGTTTGTTTGTGTTGCAGCGTTGTGGCGTTCAGAGCGATGAGCTGGGTAAGGTGCTGCGTGTGCTGACTCTGAAGAAGAACCGGCTGGTCAGGCTGATGCCTCTGTTGGAGTTCATCACCTGGTCGCTGCTCAAGGAAGGAAGCACGGTGAGAAACCTCAGCATTTCTACTGAATCAGCCCTTAAAACATCCTTAAAACAATTTATGTTAATGCAGAAACTCTGGCATAAATTTGAAAATGAGATGAGGATGATGGCAAGATGTAAGTTTGAAGTGAAAGATAAACATCTTAGAGGTTTGATAGCACACAAATAAACCAGTGTGCAATAAACCAGTTGTTCATTTCGAATGTCACGAAGGGCAGTCGTGGCCAGGTTGTGTAACAGCTTTATGCCATGTGTGATCCGAGTGAACTCTGCTCCTTCATTGCCCGCATCTATCAATGAAAGATCTCAGTGATTGAGTTTAACAACCCTAATCGGGCTCGATGGGGCAGTCTGCAGATAAACTGTTGCCACATTTATAGATGATGGCGTGTTGTTTTATCACAGCTCTGATTGACTCTGGTGCCTTGCTTTGGTTTATCAGTTTCAAATTAGGCTCCAATATTTCACCTGTCACTACTACTTGCAGTTTTTTGTGCAGAGCCGTGACCTTTGAGGCTCTAATTGAGTTTTATCTGGACCTAAATTTATGAGTACCTACTAGATTATGTATGCAGTGACTAAGCATGGCATAGGTTACTCAGTCTTAAGGAAATAGAAAGCAAAGGAATATAAAGTTAGTATGAGTTTCATTTTTATGTTTTTCCTTATCAGAAAATCGTCCCACAGTTGTGGCTCCTGGCAAAGCAAAAGTCCTGGGAAGCAGGAATTCCTCGATACATCCCCAACTCAGGTGTGTATTTTAAAATTTGCACCAAAAACATTTCTTTAGCTTTTATTATGAATAATGATTCCGATGCTCAGAACAATTTGTGGAGGGGACTATTTTAAGAGCCAAACTCATCTCTTCTGCAACTATAATAAAACTCTTGATCTGTGTTTTCAGTTTGGGGGTGGATCTGCAGCGCAGCAGGTAACAATAGCCTCAGCTTTATCTCCATCCCATAAATCAACCAACAAACACCGAAGAACATGTGGTTTAATTAGCAATTTTATTTCCTTTCTCCCAACAGCTGATGTGATTCTTGACCCC